AAAAAAAAAAAAAAAAAACAAATTTAATATCGCAAATAAGAATGTAGTAAGTTAAAAACAAACTTAAATAAATATAAAAATTTAGAAAATAAAAACTTTTAAGATAAATTTAATACATGAGTGCATAAAAAAAATTCATGTGCTGCTTCTAAACATTAATACTAAATAAATTAATTATAATTTCTGTGAAACAAAAACTTTAATATTAAGAAGCAGCTTAAAATAATTAAACGAAATTATTTAAATAAAATATATAAAACTGAAAAATATAAAATAGTAATTTAAATCAATTAAACGAAGTAATATTAATTAAATTATTAAATAAAATTCAAGAAAAAAATGTATTTGACAAAAATTATAAATTTATGCAGATCATGTTAAAAATATGATCTCTTCTACATAAAGAAAAAAAAAATAAATAAAAGCAAGTAAAAAATATTTATTTTATATTAGTTTTATTGCCAAATAATTATTAGTAATATTGAAAAATTACGTTTATATACTAAATGTATTTCCGGAATTTTTATATTCGTTGCTACTCTGTTGAGATTAAAAACGTTGTTGTTAATATAAAAAGGATATGATTTTGTCCAATTTGGTTATAGTTCCTGTATGTAGTAGAAGCTATCCGTTTTACTGGGCATCCATTTGAACCCAACAACACCATGCAATTTATATTCAAAATTTTTTTAAATATATTTATTGTATGAACATATTACATATGTGTGTATGTATTTTTGTTTATTCATAAAATATTTAATTACTTGTTGCATTCCTCGTGAAAATTGAAAAGAAAAATTCATTTTCTCGAAATCAGCAAGATATATATTAATCACATAGCTTTTACTATTATTTAACATTGAGGAATTGATCTTTTTTTGTCTACTTAAGTTGTGAAAAGTTGGTCTATAGTGAAGATAGAGTATTTGATCACAGAGCCCATTGCCTAATTATGTCGTTAAAAATCAATCAATAAACTTTTATAATTAATCTTGATAATTCATATTTATTACATATTTAATTTCTAATAATCATACACTTAATTTTAATGTCTATGATTAGCGACTATATGATTTAAAATTGTGTCATAACTTCATCTATTATAAATGGAATTTAATAGAACGATTTACTTTATTATTGTTATATTTTCTTTTAAAAATAATAATTGATTGAACAATAATTAATGGTCTACGATTGTCCTTGATGGATTTCCTGTTGTTAATGAATAATCCTTCACATCTAAAAGGTTACAATTTTAGTTGTGTCTTTATTAAACTATTTAGGAGAGGAGTTTCTTTACTCACTTTATTTTTTATTAGTATAAAGCTCTTTATTATTAAAGCTCTAAAAGCTAAGAAAGAAAAATGGAACGTCGTGGACGTATACCTGTTGCAACATTTCGTACACAGGAAGGTAAAACTCGAAGTCGCAGCCGTGTGAGAGAACCAGATTATAATGAACAAGATCCCGAAACTGATCTCTTCACTTTATTAGAGGATAATATTGCTTTGAAAGAGGAGAATAAAGCACTTAAAATCGAAATTGAAGAACGTGAGTTTTAATTCCCAAATAAGCATATTTGAATTTATTAACTTTTATAAAATTTAGAAAAAAAACAACTAAGTCAACTTGCGTCACAGCATACGAATGTTTGCGAAGAATTACAATTGCTTAGGAAAGATCAGGCGAATATTGATGTGCAAATCAAAGAACTGACTACGAAATGTTCCAAGGTACAAGGCGAACGTAATGCCTTAGATAAGCTACATAAAATGAAAGTTGATATTATTAATAGGTAAGTGTTTGTTATTCTAATTGAAATGAAAATTTTAACACTTGATGGTTTTTAGTTCTCATTTAAAATGTGTTCACATGAATATTTAAATAATAAACAGTAAATAATAATTTGCAAAAAAAAAGTGAAATGATCTTTGTATATCTCCAGACCTTTTTAAACGCAATACAATCCATGAATTTTACAATTTTAATTAGTCAATCTTGTTCAAAAAATGTGTAATATGGGAGTGGGTGTCCCCAGTCTATAACTATTTTCGAATGCGTCAATCAACATAAGTTTTATTTTCCAGATCAACATAAGGACTTGTCCATGATGCATTTTATAGATACTGTGGGTGTTGCGTTTTATAGGATTTTCGATAGAAGCTATTCTGTAAGCATTCACTCAACACATTATGCATTTTGTTCAATCAGGCAAATTGTTCACCAAATTTTCACCCATTAGACGAAACCATTTCCACCATAATGTACAAAGACTCATAACCTCGCAATACTTCAGCATATAAGTATTCTTCTATGTTATGCTAGTATAACAGAAAAGCATCCGATATAAAGTTATATTGTCAGTAAAAATATTCCTATTAACGTTTTATAGACTTTTTATTTAAACTAAGTTTCTTTTTTATTTACACCTATAAAAAACTTTTCTTCGATACTTATATGGATATACTATTTTGTTTTATAATAAATATATATTATATGTGTGTACTTATACTGTGTGTTATATAGTTTAGTACGCCCACTGATACTCTAATCATATTCACCACGAATTTGTTATACTTTCCAAATTTAAAATACACCTTCTAGGTGATTAAAATGTCCGATGGTATACTATAATAACTTCTATTAAATTTTATTTTTACAGACAATAATAAATTAATAAGACTTATTTGCATGGTTTTCAGCTGAAGTATAGTCTAAAAAGTAATGGAAACTGAACGAAATAATCCAGAAAATAACACAATAGATATATAGTATGAAACAGTGCCAGTCTTAAATTTTTTTTAGCGTTATGTGTGTGCTAAAATCACCACTTTTAAATCGTGATTCTATATAATCTTCTGATTGAGATTGCAAACTAAGAAACCATCTAATATAAGATTTTTAGTATTGTATACATATTTTAATCCATTAACAAATTTTATATTCTAAAATTATTTTAGTTTAACAAACGAACTAAACTTGCTACAGGACAGACAACAGGAAAGTAATCCTAACATAATGGTCAGTTCGGATGCACTTAAAGGCAAATTACTTAAAATTTTGCCTAGTTTAAATAGCAATGAAATGGAAAGCCTCATTGATGTTGAGTCTGCTGTTAGTGTGCCCATAACTAATGATCTGATCGAACGTTTAGTAGATGAATTTATGACACTGAAGAATTCAATGAATGCTGTAGAACTACAACTTTATGAAGCAAATGAAAAGATAGCTGAATTAGTTGAGAACGTGAGTTAGAATTCAAGAATTTTTTTAATTTAAAAATTTAATTTTGATAATTTTCTATTATTATAGCAACATCATTTAGAAGAGGAGAAT